CTGAATGAGGAGACTCTGGGCCCCCTGAGTGACCTTTCGTATTTCTCTGACGGCAGAGGAGAAAAGTAGAGAGACATAGATGGGTCCCTGAAGAGAGAAAGGGAACATAATAGGCTCGCTGGGAAGGCTAAAGTCCTGTGTCCCTGTGTCCTCCAAGGTGAGGGGCCTGGGATGTCTCGCCAGAAGCCAGTCTTCATTTGGGATGAATTACCAGTTATCTCCATTAGAGAGTAGAGAGTTGGTAAGCTTTACTGAAGGAAAAAGTATATTAAAGAGAATGAATGTGACAAATGTACATATGTAAAATAAAAAAGAAGTGGGGTCATGTTCTAAAATGGGAATATCAACATTTAAGGAGTAGGTAGAGGAATGCAAATCTATGAAGAACAATCAGTAGGAATAGTCACAGGGGTAAAAACGAGAATCAAGAGATGATACAGGACACTTGGTTTCAACTGGTTCTCCTACTGGAAGCAACTAAAAATGCTGGATAAAATCCTTTTAAAATCTTTTTAAAAGCATTAATTGGCCAGGCACAGTGGCTCACGCCTGTAGTCCCAACACTTTGGGAGGCTAAGATGGGTGGATCACCTGAGGTCAGGAGTTCGAGACCAGCCTGGCCAACATGGCAAAACCCTGTCTCTACTAAAAATACAAAAATTAGCTGGGCATGGTGGTGTATGCCTGCAATCCCAGCTACTCAGGAGGCTGAGGCAGGAGAATTGCTTGAACCTAGGAGACTCTGTTTCAAAATTTTAAAAAATAATAATAATTTTTATGAGGGAACAACGATGGGGCTGGTGGCACAGGGGTAAAAGAATTTACCAAGAGAGTAGTAGATAAAGAAAGGCAGGCTTGGCTGGGCACGGTGACTCAAGCCCTTAATCCCTCCCCTGGGAGGCTGAGGCAGATGGATTACTGGAGGTCAGGAGTTTGAGATCACCCTGGCCTAAATGGCAAAACCCCATCTCTACTAAAAATACAAAAATTAGCCGGGCGTGGTGGCAAGTGCCTGTAGTCCCAGCTACTCAGGAGGCTGAGGCAGGAGAATCACTTGAACCAGAGGTGGAGGTTTCAGTGAGCCAAGATCACACCACTACACTCCACCATGGATGACAGAGCAAGAGTTTGTCTCAAAAAAACTCAAAAAAAAAAAAAAAAAGGCAGATTTATTAGAGAAAGTAGGAAAATATATTGCGAGAAGGCAACAAGCAGGATCAGAAGAAGAGAAGCTGACTGCAAAGAAAGAAAGGCTTGCTGGAGATTTTATGGGATGGTGTTTATGCTGTCTGTTGAAGAGGGCTTTGTTTAGTATTGATAATGCAAAGCTTGTAGTGAGCTAACTTGCAGATGTCTGGTGATAGTTGGGTGCAGGAAGATTGTGAGTTATTTTTGCAGGAGGGCTGTGTGTCCTGGACCACGAAGAAAGGCAGACTTGTAGCTTATCTGCTTTATCTTTTTGCTTTTTCCTGCCCCCACCAGCCTGACTCCCTTTCCCTAATTAGGATTTCAAATTAACGAGTTGTAATAACAAGGAAAACCCTGACCAAACACTATGTGAAGGAAGGAACCCAGAGAGAAAAGGAGAAATCTGAAGATGGCTTGCACTTTGAGGCATTTGCTGAAGCTGTGAACTTGGACTTCAGTGTTTATGACCCCACAGAGTATGAAGAACAAGAGATAAAATGTAGCACCTGCCTAAGATGGGGAGTATAAACAGAGACCCTTCCTGATAGGTGTTAGCCCCCAAAAGCCACACATGTAATATAAGCATGACCTAGAAACAAACTCACCTCCCTGCCAGAGAATTGCAAAGAAAGTTCCCTGTCTCAACCACTGGCATAAAGGGAAGAGGGAAAATTAACTCTGAGAATGTATGGTTACAAGCCAAATTTGGATAGGGTTATAGCCAAAATCCACACTATCTTGCTGCATGAAAATAAATTTAAGCTGGGAATTTACTTTAAGAGGGTTCCTAACCACTGGTACCTCCCTGGGGGCCTAACAGAAGCAAATGCAAATTCTCTTTAGATAGACCCACTATCAACCCAAGCCTCAAATGATTCTCATAAATAAAAATTTTAAGGGAAATTAACTGTTGATAATCAGAAATTGCTAAACAAGATACCATGAGCAAGAGCCAATAGAAACAATTTTAAAATACAGAGCATAAAAATGATCAAAATACTTTTAAAAATAAAACTTTAAAAATATGAGCAGAATCCAAAACACTATAAAGAATGGTTAAGGATATTTGAAAAGAACCAAATATAAACTTCTAGATATAACAAATGTAAGAAATAACATTTAAAATATCAATGTTTAGAGCCAATAGTAGATTAGACACAGTAGGAGAGAGAATTAGTAAGCTACAAAGTAGACTGAGGAAATTATCCAGACTTCAGCACAGAGAGAAAAATACTAGGTAGGTAGGTAAGTAGATAGATGGATAGATACATAGATAAAATTAAGAGAAGTGTAAAAGAGGATAAAGAATAAAAAGAGACAGCCCTATTAAAAATGGCACAAAAATTTGAACAAGCTCCTCACCGAAGAGGAAATCCATACATTCAATAAACATGAAATATATTCAATCTTATTAGTAACCAGAGAAATGCACATTAAAAATCACAGCTAGCTTCCATTTCACACTTTCCAACTTGGCAAGTATCAAAGTCTTCCTGTAGCAAATATAGATGAGTATGCGGAGCAACGAAAACTCATACTCTTGTAGGGTTGTAACTCTGAACTTGGAAAATTTGGTTTCACCTAACCAACTTGGATATGTGCATATTCTGTGCAATGGGTTGAATATTCACGATCTTCCAAAATTTCTATGTGGAAGTCTAGGTGATGGCATGAGGAGGTGGGGTCTTTGGGAAGTGATTAGGTCATAAGGGTGGAGCCCTCATGATTGAGAGTGGCATCCTTAAAAAAGAGACCCAGAGAACTCCCTTGCCCTTCCACCTTGTGAGGACACAGGGTTACACGGCACAGAAGGTGACATCTATGAACCAGGAAGTGGACTCTGACCAGACATCAAAGTTGCCAGCACTTTGATCTTGAACTTCCCAGCCCCCAGAACTGTGGGAAATAAATCTCTGTTGTTTATAAGCACCTAGTGTATGGTATTTTGTTACAGCAGACCAAACAGATTAAGGAGGTCTAGAACTTGGAAAGACCCTTACACAGGTGCACCAGGAGACATGTCCAAGAATGTTCATACAACATTGTTCATAGTAGTAAAAAACTAGGAAAAACCCAAATACTAGCCATCAATGGTAGGATAGATAAATAAAGTGAAGTCTATACCAAAAAATGCTATCCAACAGTGGAAAATAAAGGACTATAAACCCTGTGGTGATGCTGTGATCCCACTGGCTACCCAGATCCAGCAGGCTTCCAATAGAGAGCTTTTCATCCCAGCTGCATAGGTATTGGCGGCAGGCAGTCCTCAGCCATCAGCCCCTCAGGGGTTGCTTCAGCTGCAGTGTCACCTCACCTGAGTTCACACCCTACATCCCATGAATGATTGATACAGCAGTATAAAGGCCTGGCCATCTTGGCCCCACTCAGGACAGTACTGAGCTCCAGAGCTCCCAATGGAAGCTCACTTTCTACCTGTTCCCAATCCTGCTTCCTTCTCCCTTTCTACAGGTATTGATCCCAGGGCAATCTTTAATAACCACCCTGCACACTAAACTCAGCTCTGACTCTGCTTCCCAGAGAATCCAACCTACAACTGCCACACACATCAACAATGATGAGTTACAGAAACATAAAGCCAAACAAAGGAAGCAAGTCCCAGCATAGTGCATAGGGCAGATTCCACTTGTATAAAGTTCCAAATACAAAAACTAAACAAGACATTGTTTAGAGGTGCATATGTAGAGAGCAAAACTTTTTGTAAAGGCAGTTGAAAGGTTTTCTTCCCTTCTGACACCAACTCAGTGTCCTACAATTCAATTCAATTCTAACGCTAACACACTGGAGTTAGTGTCAGACTCCACGTGTCTAAAGGCTCAGTCCCACAAGACTGTCCTCACTTCAGATACCAGCCACAAGTATCAGGCCCCCAGGTTACCCACACTTCTGTCTGACATGGCTACAAATTCAGGGTTCTCACAACCTCCCCCTCTGCAAAGTTTAATAATTCTCTAGAATGACTCACAGAACTCAAGTAAGTGCTTCACTTACTATTGTGGGTTTACTATAAAGGATACAACTCAAGAACAGCTGAAGGCAAGAGATGCCCGGGGCAAGGTCGGGGACGAGGAACATGGAGCTTCCATGCCCTCTCCGGGTGGGCCACCTCCCAGCACCTCGATGTGTTCACTAATCCAGAAACTCTCTGAACCCCCTCATTTAGAAGCTTTTATTGAGGTTTCATCATGTAAGCTTAATCAATTATTAACTCAGTCTTCAATCTCTGTCCCCTCTCTGGACAGGGGGGAAGAGTTAGGGCTGAAATGTCTAGGCTTCTCATCAAGGTTTGGCCTTTCTGACAGCCAGCCCTCATCCTAAAACCACTTAGGGGCCCACCAAGAGTCACCTCATTAGAACCAAAGATGCTCCTAGCACACAGGAAATTTCAAAGGATTTAGGAGCTCTGTGTCAGGACAAGAAAAGATGCTTCCATCACTCGGGAAATTACAAGGATTTTAGAAGCTCTGTGCCAGGAAATAGGGACAAATACCAACTATATATTTCTTATGATGTCACAGCAAGTAATAAAGAAAACTCAGGATAGTAATGACATCTGAGCAGTAATAGGGGAGATATCACTGGGGAGAAACAGCAGGGTCTCTAAGATACAGGTATGCTTTACTATTATTTATTATTTAAACTACACAATGTCTAAATTTTTTGCATGCAGGAAACTATACAATGAAAAATTTTTAAACAAATGACAAAAATGATAACAATATTTTAAGTAAAGAAAATGACTGAATGACTAGAAAATAATGACGCTATTGAGAGATGTAGCAAACTGAAAAGGGATGTCAGTGGAATGGAAAGGTGGTGAGTTTAGCTTAGAACACAAGCGCGAAGGTGAGAACAGTCAATTTTCTAAGAGAAAGAATTGGAGCAGGAGGGGAGGTTTTGGATTGCATAGGAGAGAGGTAACCATTGATACCTTGAAAGTCTATCAGAATGAAGAGCTCTGCAGATGATGGAAGCCAGAGATCAGGAATACACTGAGCAGTGGATAAGGATGCAGATAGAGATGAATTAGAAAATAGGGTTAGGACAGAAGCGGTGGCTTACACCTGTAATCCCAGCATTTTGAGAGGCTGAGGCGGAAGGATGGCTTGAACTAACGAGTTCTAGATGAGCCTGGGCCACATAGCAAGACCTCATTTCTACTTAAAAAAAAAAAATTAGCCAGGCATTGTGTGGAGTGCCTATAGTCCCAGCTACTAGGGAAGGTGGGGTGGGAGGGCCACTTGAGCCCCAGAGCAGTGAGCTATGATCACATCACTGCACTCCAGCTTGGGCGGTAGAGCAAGACCCTGTCAAAAAAAAATAAAAAAATAAATAAAAAGAGGATCAGAGGAACCCAGGAGGGAGCAGAGGTAAGGTAAGTCAGGAGATTTTGTTTGCATTGTTTGTCCTGAGTTCCCAGAAAAAACAATGCAGCCCCAACAAACGTGTGCATAAAAGACATTCCCTGCCAAATAGAAAACACTTTGTTGGTTTCATGACCCTTGGGTTCTGTGCCACTGTTCCCATCCATTTAACAACAATAATCAAGAATGTTCTCAAAAATAAGACTCTTATTCAGTAATAGAACTACTTCATTTGGAATGTGATTTTTGAAATAGAATAATTATTTTGTTACAGAAAGAAAACAACTTTCCTGAGATGTTTCCAGAGCTTCTACTAACACAGTGTAGACAGTGTGTCTTCATGGCTCCCTAGCAAAGCTGTTTCTCTTCCATCTGCCACTGTGGTTGCTGTCATTGTTAATTCTCGGTTCACAGCAATTATGAGATTTTCAGGTATTTACATTAATGTCTTACCAGATAAAGTCTTACTTCATAGGGAAACCAAATCTTACAATATTGCATCTGTCCTTACTTAAGCTTAAAGTTATATCCATATAGACCTACCTGTACAGGTAATAAAACTGCCCAAATGGTGGATGTATATTTAGTTATAGGGATAATCTAAGAGAAGGTAGAGGATAGCATTGAAATTGATATTTCAGAGTCTTCACCTTTATCTCTGTGAACATTTATGATTTGTTCTTTCAAAACACCTATCACTCTGCCTCTTGGAGAATGCTTACAAATATTAACTAAAAACTGTGTATTCATAGTTTTTGTGTGGAATAATTCCAACGCGGTTCCATTTCTCCTTTAATCTTTGTAGAAAAATGTGGACACGTCAGTTTGAGCAAAGGATGACTGGTGTCTGTTATCCATTAACTCAGTCAACAGATATCAATACAGTTCCCACTGCAATCCTAGGGGAGCGTGAATCTAGGGGAATCCAGACAAACTGGCCCCTGCTTTCATGGAGTTTGTGTATTAAGATGATACCAGGGATTAATTTAGAGGCATAACTGAGTGACAACACAGAGGGGCAGGTGCCACTAAAGATTTGTATTACTTATGTTTCCCAGAGGAGGAAGCATGTCATTCTGTGCACGACCATGTGGGGAGCATCGGTGTGGGCCAGGAGGCAGAAAGGAATGTGGAGGAAGAGCCTAGGCCAGAGTCTTTATTGGGGTTTCCATGGGAGCACCAAGGCAGGGTACAGTAGGCAGCTTAAGATGGGCTGGTTTGAATTAACTCCAGTGTGCTTTGGTCTATTAGGTGCCTGGTACCTGGCCCTGGGGTGATGTAGGGCAGGGGAAATATGGCTTGGTGTGTGAATTAGGTAAGGAGATGGCTGGAGCTCTAGACTCAGGATTGGCTTGTTTGTGTAAGACAGACGCGCTCCTGACTGAACCCTTTGCTCTCTCTAAAAATTGGCTAGCACAGGGAGGGCACAGGGAGGGGCATTCCGTCCCCAGTCAGCAAGTTTTTAAGGTATTCAAACATCATAAAATACAGAAAATTTAAAACATGACCAATACAGGAGTGGGGTGGCTCCTTTGAAGAGGGTGGTCACTGAAGACTTCTCAGAGGGGAGACGTTTGAGTTGAGGCCCAAATGATGCGAAAGAATCCATCACAAGAAGCTCTGCAGGCAGCTTGCACACAGATCCCAGCATGGCAGGAAAAAGGCCGGCACATCCCACAAACAGAAGGATGGTCAGAGTGGCCGGAGCAGAGCGAGCAAAGAAGAGGGAGGATCAGATGAGGCCGTGGAGGAACCTGGACTTCATTCAAAGTTCAACGGGAAGCCATGGGCATGTTCAGACCCCAGAGTGCCATGATTCTGGAAAAACCACTCCACTTGCGGTGCAGAGAATGCAGGAAGGCTGGAGTGGGTGCAGGGGATTCTTGTGGTAACCTACGCATGATACAGTGGAAGCATGGGCTGTTTGTGAAGGTTTCTGCTCATCCGCCTGTGGGGGCTCGTCCCAGAACACCCATCCTATAGCACCTATGGACCCTATCTTCACTCTGTGTTGGAATTGCCTGTTTATCCATTCCCTCAGGATTTGGCCCAATGTAAGCTCTTGCAAACAGGCGCTGTTTCTATCATCTTCAAATCCTTACCACCTAGCACAGTACTAGACTCAGAGCTGAATGAATGATACGACTCAAGTTGTACCAAAACTAATTTGAAGCAGCACCTAAGGCCTAAAAGGAATTTAATTTTTGTTTTGTTTTTTCTTAAAACCGTTTATTTTGAAATAATTTTAGATTTACATAATAGTTGCAAAGACAGTAGAGAGTTACTACATATTCTTTACCCAGTATCTTCTAATATTAATATCTTATGTAACTACAGCACTTTTGCCAAAACTAAGAATTAACACTCGTACAGTACTATCAACTAAACTACAGACTTTATTCAGATTCACGCTGAAAGGAATTTAAATAATTAATTATTGAAGCTCTTCAGTACCAAAATAAACTAGGACCACTGTACCCTGTACCATGCCTAGCTTAATAAATATCCAAAGGCATCTATTAAAGACAATCAGATAATCAGTCAGGGAAAAGGGGCAGATTATACAGTAGTTTTCCCGAGATAATATAGGCAAAAATTTTCAGCCATAATCTATATCATAACAAGAAGTCATTCTGTAGTGACATGGCCAAACTGAAAAAGGATGACCATCGCCAATCATGATATAAAGCAGCTCAGCTGAATGTATGGCTTTTTGGGGTAAATGTAGAAACAGCATCCCAGCCCTACCAGAAGCTCTGATACGCACTTCGCTTTCCACTCTCAACTGAGAATATTTATTACAAAGGTCTCCTATGAGGTTTGGCAGGTTACTCCCTGCACTAAGGTGCCCAGCCTACATTCCATGCTCCAAGCTGAGGGCCCAGGAAAGGAGGTATGTCCTTCTAATTTTTACAAAGTTACAAGGGCCACAAAGGTGCCGGCACAAGTCATTAAAATGCCAAAATCGGCCAGTCACAGTGGCTCACGCCTGTGATCCTAGTACTTTGGGAGACCAAGGTGGGCATATTGCTTGAGCTCAATAGTTTGAGATCGACCTGGGCAATACGGCAAAATCCTGTCTCTACAAAAAGTACAGAAAATAAGCCAGGAGTGGTGGTGCGCTCCTGTCTTCCCAGTTATGTGAGGGGCTGAGGCAGGAGGATTGCTTGAACCTGGGAGGTCGAGGTTGCAGTGAGCACAGCACTCCAGCCTGGGCGACAGATTGAGACCCTGTCTCTAAATAAATAAATAAGTAATATGATATAATAAAATACCAAAATAGCTCATAGGGCTGATAAGTAGCCACTGCCCAGAGGCCCCCTGAATGGCCTCAACGATGGCCACAGGGCTTGCCCATGACCCGCTGCACACCATAACCAAACATGCCAGGCACATTAGGGGGTCCAGGACCCGCCCCCCAGTCCAGACTTACCAGCTGCTGGTATTCATTCTGACTCATCCATGCCCAGGCCATATAATTGTTAACTATTTGGGATATCACACCTGGTTTTATTCATTTTCCTTTGTTTTTTTCTTATCCACATCTTAGAAAATCTTTCTTATCCACATCTTAGAAAACCTTACAAACCATTTGTAGCCTCAGGAATGGCCTAGTGGTTGTACATAGAACTGTTCCCACCATTCCCGGTGATCAGTTTCCAGGGCATGAGAACGTGATCAGGAGCAGTTCCTAGGTAGTCCTATGAGGATTCAGACTAGAGCTGAGTGGTTCCAGCCTCGGTGAGAAGGTCAGAGCACCATGGCTGGGACCTTTTCCTCTAATTCATTTTATTAATGAATCAAAGGAACATATCAAGCTAAAGAAAATATAGTCCCTTAGTTGTCAGAGAAGGCAACAATGAAAAGTGGTTGAGGGAATAAGCCTCGAATTTTCTGGATTTAAAACTTTTTTCATCCCTTTCTAGCTGTGTTTTCTTGGGCAAGTTATCTAATTGCCCTGTCTCTCAATTTCCTCACCTGTAAAATGGTGATAATAATATTAACACCTATTCAGAGAGTTGGTGTGATGATTAAATATCTAATCTATGCACTTAGGAGAGCGTCTGGTTCATATTAAACCCTCAGTCAAGGTAGCTACTACAGCGAAGAAAAAATAAAAATTTAAAAATTAATTATATGTTATCAGAGAACTTTAAAGCTATAAGAGAGCTTAGAAACTAGTCCATGTCATTTCCCCTTGAGGAAACTAATGCCCCATGAGAAGTAGTTGATTCAGAGGCAGAATGAGAGATTTCATCTTATCAATTCTCTTATTTATTTATTCATTTATTTATTTTTGTAGAGATGGGGTCTCACTATGTTGCCTTATCTGGTCTCAAATCTCTGAGCTCAAGCAATCCTCCCTCCTTAACCTCCCAAAGTGCTGGGACAGGCATGAGCCACCACGCCCAGCCTCATCAATCCTCCTAAAGGTGACTGACAATTCTCCCTACTTTACCATAAGACTCAGACAATGTGTTG